CCTCGATGTATCTAAAATATGGATCAACGGTAGCTGCCATGAGATGGACGAAAATCCCGGGTGTTCTCGGTGGATGAGAAATATCCGATATCGACGCCAACAGGTACCCGGGTTTTCGAAACGATCGGTGGGAACTCGGGACGGTGCCATTAAATAAAGAAAACCGACAATGAAAGCAGGTACATTCGGATAGTTAAGAAAATCCCCGGGCATCAGGAATGATCTGGTTCAGAAAGTCGAGGCGGACTTGATGCAAACATCCCTCTGATTCCGACAATTGTGAACTTGAATATCAGGTCAAGACAGGTGGACACAGTACTAGGGCCTTCACAGTGTGCGAAGTGATGTTCGGGTTCAACCACCTTCCTTTTTAAGACACTTGGTTCGAATAAATTGGGTCGACTTTTCACGGGGCGAGATGAACGCAGTAATACTTCGAACACAACCAGCTCTCGCTGTGTCGAGACAGTTGATGACAAGGTAGTCGTGCTCGGGAATGTCATATAAATCTAGGCTGCCACTTCAACCATGCGGAATCATCGTGGATTGAATACGGGACCTGAGTCTACTCTACGAGTACGAGTCAGATTTAAGTTCTGGAAATGGTGAAAAGAGTTGAGTAATTAAGAGGACGAGAGAGGAAAGAATAAATGCAAAATGCATAGCATCACCGTGGATTGAACCCGGAACCTGGGACGCCGTGCCGATGGAGCCGCAGGCGAGGCCGCGACCACACCCGCCCATAGGGCGCCGCAGGCGACCAGAACCACGACACCCGTCCATGGGGCGCCGCAGGCGACCACCATCGCCACCTTCCCTCGCGAGCCGTAGGCGAGGCGTAACAACAGCTAGGGCGCCGCAGACGACCAGGACCACGACCCCCGCGAGCACAGGGCGCCACAGGCGACTCCCACCATCACCTAGGCGCGGCGCAACAACTACGAGGGCGCCGCAGGCGACCAGCACCACAACCACGACCCGGCCGCGACTGCGGCGACCACGCCAATCACGACTCCCGCCCACAAGGTGCCGCAAACCAGGTGGAACCATAGGCGAGGCCGCACCCACGGGGCGCCACAGGCGACCGGCACCACAACCACGACCACGCCACCTGGAGGTCGCATGCGACTGCTGGAACCTGCAGGCGATACCTCTCCCGCCCATCTCATATCCTCTACGAGCCATAGTTGAGGCGCAACAAAGACGAGCCGCAAGCGAGAAGCGCGCACAGCGCAGCACAGCACGGAGCCGCAGGCGACAAGCAAAACGGCAAGCCAGCACCATAGGGCGCGCATAGAGCGCCGCAGGCGACGGCCGACGAGTCGCACGGTTACGCCTGTCCTACCACGTCCGTGAAGCCGCAAACAGCATCCCCCCAAGAGCGCATCCCAGCCACTCCCGTGCTCCAATCCTGAGAATCTCGTCGTAGAAACCACCTGTAGTACTGTCGTTGCGCGTGGCATTATGCCAATTTAGCGGATTTTGAACGCGTAAACTCGGACTAGAGACTTGTTTAGCTCAATAGCCGCGTTAAAACGCGTCTAGAGTGGACCGAGGAATGCAGCAATGTGGTGGGAGGAAGAAAGGGACCCTGAGATCACGTGCGCGCCATCGTTCTCCGCTTGTGCAGCGCGCTTTTGCTTCTGTGCCGCATCCTCATAACGGTCCTCATTTGGCCTCTTGCCCGAACTCGCAGGATGGCTAGCAATCGAATTCCTGACGAAATCATATCCGAAATTCTTACTCCTTTGCTTAAACACCCCGACGAAGTGTTCTCTGACCGTTCAATGAAGCCGCTTTTGGCACCCGGGTACTCCTCGTCGACGTACCTGCTCGTCTGCAAAGCATGGCTTCGCGTATCGACGCCCCTTCTATACAATGTTGTCATACTCCGCACCACTGCTCAGGCCGAGGTTCTCCAGACGGTCCTCAAATCCAACAAAGAATTCGGCCTGCTTATCAAAAGTTGCGCGTCGAGGGTGGCTTTGGAAATGCCATGCAGACCATCCTAAAATGCGCCCCAAATATCACGGATCTGTTCCTCACGTTCCTTGTTTGGGGCTCCGACAGTGTCCGAGACCTATGCAGTGGCCTTGCGCTCATAAATCCACGCCGTGTCATTGTAGTTGACGCCGATGGGCGGGAGGTGAAGCCTAAAGAAAACAAACAGTTTACCCAACTCTTCAACTCTCTCCTTGACCTCATTCCCAAGTGGGATAATCTGGTATGTGATTCCACCAGCTCCTAACAAAACCGAGCCTCATTACAATGCAGAAAATTTTTGAATTTCCGTATCGAGTCAAAGGTGCCGAAGTGCAACGCTTCCCCAAAGTGGAAGCTCGGGCGGACGCTCTGGCGTCGGCATTGGCAGAGTCCCCAAGCCTCGAAACCCTAGTCGCGGATATCGGACTTGGACTTCCGGTCTACCTTTATCGAGTCGCCAAGGCGCCTTCTCTGAAGTCAATCCACTTCATGTTAACCTCGAAGGCCTTCGCCCCCCACATTCGCGAAGCCGTCAGGAAGGATCCGAAACTCCAGGCGCTCGTAACGTACGGTACCAAAGCGTAAGTTTTCTTTTTTCGCGTCAACCCACCGCACCTGGGCTGAGCCCAGTATTATAGAGGACCTCCGTCGGTACCGGATATCCTGATCATTGCAGGTTTTTTACCTTCATCGCAAGCGCGATCACCGTCACCGTCGCCGTCGTCGTCGGTAGAAGAGCGGCGGAAAAAGCATGGCTTTGTCCACAAAATCCCCCAACTGGAACAAATCGCGAAGGAGCGGGGGCCCATCATAGAGGAACTCAATGTAGACTTTACGGGTGAACCTATAGGCCCTGGTTCAAAGTCAAAGATTGAACGCGTCGATTCCGCGGTTCTCGCTTCTTTCACTTCCTTAACTCGCCTGACATGGGCCGCACACGAGAGGCTGCTGTTGTCTCCACCCCCTCCCGGATTTTCCGCTCTCGACAATCTACAGGTGCTAAGTATCGACGGTGAATCACCCTCTCTTCTTGATATTGTCTTGCACCGACCGTGCGTATCTGTATTTTCCTCGATGCATATCTTATCTCATCTGCATTCCGCATGGCCTTAGGCTTGATTCCTTACAGGAGCTCAAGTTTCGGTAGGCAGGTCCTCGTCCCGGCCGCCATCGGCTTGCTTAGATCCCGTGCCGCCCAACTTACCCATCTCACGGCCCTGGTCGAGATCTTCAAAGAGGTCGACGTATTTGATCTTTGCACAAGCCTCAAGACTCTTTCCGTGACTTCAACAGTCGCGGACAAACTAGCACGCAATGTCCGCTTTCTTTTTTCGTGATTATTCTCTGTCCACTGCTGACTGGTCATCCACAGGCTCTTCCTGAAGATTTTCTCACTCGTTCCACCCCTCATAATACGCTCAAAAAGATCCGTTTTGAATTCCACACCTTGTAGGCGTGCTCTGTTCTGTTCTGTATTTCATCTAACCGTGTCCCCGCTTCTCATTCCAGAAATCGTGACGAACCCGCACTCAAACACATCTTCGAACACCTCGATCCAGCGAGCTTCCCGGCGCTAAAAGAAATTCAACTGGATTGTATCAAGTGGCCAAACTCTGAGTGGGTTCCATTTTATTGCGGGAAGCATTCAATATTGCGTCTTCTAACGCCCTTTCAGGCAGCAAGCTCGGAAGAACAAATGGATACCGTTTTCGGAGCTGTTGCGCCCCAAGGGCATCAAGCTCACGGATCCGAATGGGCTCGGTGGACGAGGCACATGAAATGACTGACATCCGCCCGGGGAGGAATTGAAGTAACTTTTGTCTGTGTCGCTACATACTGGAGCCAAATCGAACTCCAACTCGACAATAATTTCACTCGATTTAGGCCGATTACTGTCGTACTGAGCTGCGAGGACAAGGACTAACAAGGTAAAGGCTTGCACGCTCCAAAATCGGATTGCAGGATGGCGCATACCCAGAGTTGGATGTGGCGGCGTAATCAAATCAGTGTCCTGGCAATGCCCCGTTCAGTTTAGTTCGAATACGAGCGAGGCGTTCTCAGGGGCTCAATTATTTTCCACGCGCTGTTTCCCCAAGCTTTTCATCACCAAACGCAATTGAAAGAGCGAGAATCCAGACACAATATTATAAAAGAAAACAGTAGTAAGTAAAATAAGCCGCCGAGGGTGATCCAGTCAGGTCCTCGACGACGGGAGAAAATATTAGGTATTGAAAACATGCATTACAGAGAGCAAGAGACCAATCCCAATTAGACGAGAAACCACGGCACGGACCTATGTCCCGATCAAGTTAGAGACCAGAAACGGATGACGATCAAGATGTATCCGTATATGGTCTGTTAATGCTTAATTACACATTTTACAAACTACTAGGCCTTCACCCAGAGTGTACGAAGTGATGTTCGGGGAACATTTCAACCACTTTCCTTTTTAAGACACTTGGTTCGAATAAATTGGGTCGACTTTTCACGGGGCGAGATGAACGCAGTAATACCTCGAATACAACCAGCTCTCGCTGTGTTGAGACAGTTGATGACAAGGTAGTCGTGCTCGGGAATGTCTAGGCTGCCACTTCAACCATGCGGAATCATCGTGGATTGAATACAGGACCAGAGTCTACTCTATGAGTACGAGTCGGTTTTTAAGTACCGGAAATGTGTGAAAAGTCGAGTAATTAAGAGGACGAGAGAGGAAAGAATAAATGCAAAATGCATAGCATCACCGTGGATTGACCCCGGAACCTCTGCCGCGTATGGGGGTTCGAGCCACGGCGTTTGGCAGTGAAAAGTGTTGAAAGGGTAAGGATAGATCTAACCATATAACACAACCGAAACAAAATTAATACAAAAGAATGACTGTGGATTGAACACGGAACTGTTTGTGATGAAGAAAACTAGGCTGGAGTACAGAAAATCAGGGTTCAATCGTTGGTAAAAATGGAAAGGGGACGGGTACAGGACAAGGAAAAAAGAAGAAAGGGAAATAAATGCAAAAAAAGTGGCATCACCGTGGATTGAACACGGGACCTTCAGATCCCAAAGTCACGTGATTTCTTCAGTCTGCTGCTCTCCCAGCTGAGCTATGACGCCATGACAGGTTTATGAAACCCAAGTCTATATCATCTCGGCAGAGATCCAGTTCGGCTTCTGATCACTGCAACCGCGTCTTCCCGCCAAACTTTTTACCATGTTCCTCCTGGGCCGGGGAGTGGTTGGCCCCGCGCCATTACTACGCTTCGGGGCGCGGTACAAAAAGAAACGGTCTGCGTATGCTGTCGCCTCGCAGAACCAGGCAGCCAAAGGGAAAGGCGGCAAGGCAATCATCCAGCGCGACGCGATGGGCCGCCCCATCGTCAAGCAGCGCGAGAAGAGTCTCGGGATATTCAAACCTTTGAACGCGGGCGCACTCACCCATGTGCTATTCGAGACCGAGGCTCCAGGCCGCCTCCAGCTTGCTGTGCCTCCGATGAGACCAAGAACGCTGGCCCCAGGTGTTGCGATGCGGTTCCACGATTTGGACCCGACTAGCCCGATGAGGGTGTATGGTGTGCCGAAGCATATGCTGCTTGAGGTATTTTTTCGTCGTGTTGTAACGAATTCGCTGTGAATTACATCTAGTTCCGCACCCTCGGCCTCCCGTGTGCCATCACGACCTCTACCACCCTCTCTCTCATCCGCGCCCTCGAAGAGTCCAAGGATCGTCCCGCCCGACTCGTCCTAAATGGCCGCCCCGGTGTTGGCAAGTCATACCTCCTCCTCCAAGCCGCCCAATACGCCTCTGCTATGCGCGAATGGATCGTCCTCTACATCCCCCGCGCGCGCCATTTCGTCGACGCTTCCACCCCGTACCAGTACTCTCCTGGCAACAAGAACATATCTCCAACCAAGGGCCGCGTACCAAACTCTATCCCGCCTGGCGCGCGCCAACTCCCATCTCTTAAGCCAGCTCAACACTCAGTCCGAGGTCGTGCTCCCGGACGGCGGCCGCACCTTCCACGCGGGAACACCCTTGACGACGCTCATCGACGCGGGTTTGACTGCGGCCGAGACGTCAGCTGGCGCCGCGCCTTCTGTGGACGCGCTCCTCCGCGCGCCTTTTGTCCTCGACGCGGTCCTCTCTGAGCTCGGTGCCCAAGAGGACTTTCCCGTCTTGATCGCTATCGACGACTTCCAAGCGCTGTGCGGGCGCTCTCTGTATCGGGACCCTCGATTCAAGGCTATCCGGCCGCACCATCTGAGTATGCCTCGGCTGTTGTTGGAGTATGCTGGGGGGATGAGAAAGTTGGCCCGAGGCCTCGTCCTAACTTCCCTTACCCGGTCCGACACCCAGTTCCCCGTCCCACCACAACTCTCCGACGCCCTCCGCCTAAGCGATGAATTTTCTCCGTCTCCCCGAAGTGTGGGGTATAGAAGGAGCGCCCAGCTGGCCGCGTACTTGGAAGGCGAGGTCGAGGGTGAGTTCCGCCTTTTTATCCATTCCCTCGCTAAATATTTTCTAGAACCCACCGACCCCTTCGCCTACCTTGATGCTGAGCCCCTTGACCCTGACGCCGACGCCGAACTGACCAATTCCGAGCCCACTTCCGCCGCCGTCGACGCAGAATCTGACCCTGAACTATCCGACTCGGACTCGGAACTCGTCTCCGCCTTCGGGTCCGAAGACGTAGACGAGGGTGACCCCCGTGGACAGGCTGGACCGCATACAACCTGCCCACGTACGAGGACTCGGTCACCCCGACGGCCGTGACGCCCTTCCCCGTGCCCCGGGCAACGGAAGGAGTGGCGCACGATGGTGATGCCGCGGGAGGAGGACTGAGTCCGACGGCGAGGAGGCGCTCGGGGGGTTATACGACATACAGGGTGACGTCGAAGGTGTGGAGGATGGGGCGGACGGCGTTGTTGGCCAACCCAGCCAGGACGGGAAGAAGAACAAGAAGAAAAAAGCCGAGCGAGTCGTCGAACAGCCAAAAACGCGCATAGTGCGAGCTTTGCGCGCGATACGGGTGCCGGATGCGCTTTCGGTGCGCGAGGCAGCGGGCTTGTTTGAGATGTGGCTGGATGCGGGAATGTTGAGGACTGGTGAGTTTATTCAGTTCTGTCTACGACAAATTCGTTCTTTCATTTCCCTTCGCCGCTTTTCTTATCCCTCTCGTTATTTCTATTGCGCTAACCAACATCCCTCAGGCGGTCAACGCCGTGCTGCCCGCCGCATGGAGCTAGACCTCGAGGAGGAGTACCGCGCTGCGAAAGCTGCCGTCGACGTCGACCCCGAGACCGCATACGACGCCGAACTTGCGGACAATTTCGAGCCGGACTGGGATGCCGCCCAGCTTCGTTCCCCACCTCCCCACTTAACATCGACACCGCAGTCCAGTGCCGGCACCAGCTTCTCCAGCGCTGCCGCTAAATCATTCGACAAACGTCCGGCCGCCCCGGCTGCTGCAGCGCCAACCCCTGATGAAAAGCAGGAGATCGCGCGGCTGCACAGGGAGCTGGAGGGAGAGGAGTATGACGAGGTGCGCCTGCTGGAGGGAGGCCTTGAGGAGAAGAAATGGTTCCGTGCGCGTGCGGTGGAGGACGCGCGGGTGGAGAGTCTCGATGCCGTGAGGGAGCGCGATGGACGGGCAATACGCGCGGAAGAGAACTTAAAAGGAGTCGAGTCAGAAGGGGAAGAAGTCGCCGCAGCAGATGCGGAAGCGAGCGCAGGGGACGACCTCGTTGGCGCTGTGGAGGCGCTTGGGGAAAGCAACGATGCGGAGCTCGCGGACACGGACGTTCTCGAGCTTGGGCCCGACCAGGAGATCGCGGGCCTCCTCTCGCAGGGTGTGCGCAACGCCCTTGCGGACCCTGATTCCGTTGGGGACCTCCTCCGCACGAACGTGGCCAACGCAGACGAGGCGGTCTATGGGAATGAGGATGAGGATGAGTTTGACGACGAGGAGGAGGAAGAGTACGAAGATGAGTCGGATAGCGAAGGGGAGGGCGAAGCCGCGAGGGGAGAGGTGGTGGAGGAGGACTCAGGCGCGGATGAGCTGTTCTTGAGCAAGTATCAGGAGAGCAGCGGGAATGCGCGGACGTTTGTCAAGGGGCTGGTGGGCACGTTGCAGACGAGTGGGTGAGCGGCAGCGATCGCAGGTTCCAAAGGGCATTTTGGTGCGAGTTAGATGCCGATGATGCGCCTGGCAACTAGCGTCCTGCCGCACACGCGCGCCTGTAGCAGAAAGGCGCGGCGGTGCTAGATCTTTCGACGCCGATATTAACCGACATCGAGAACCAAAATTACACCACTAATTTGTTATCTATACAAATGGGGACTGAAACCGAATGCTGGCGGCCCTCGTAACTATTCCGCCGCTGCTGATTCCCAGTCGACCTTGCGGCAAGTTTCGAATCGAGAATGCTGGCGGTGGGCGACTGGACAAATTGAAATTGCACTGTGTGCTTCCCATGCGCTGTGCAAAAGAGCCCCACGACAGGCCATAAATCCAGCGGATCATATACTCTAAGATTGAATGCACTGCGAAGGCAACGCGCATAACTTGGGTACAGCAAAAAATCTGTTTTCGAAAAAGAGTTTCCCGGACGGTCAAGCGTCCAAAGCCATAGGCTCTGGAACCATAAGTTTCTAGTTGTGGGATGCAGAAGTAAGAACGCTTGTTACGAAGATCATCAGCCAAACAAGGCCAGACAATACTACGCCTGCTTCCCAAATTGGCAATTCGCACTTTTTGAAGATCTCTGGAAATACGTTGTTTCAGCAGCCAGAAGAATTCGGGAAACCGCAATTCAAAACCTTAATCAACCTCGAAACTGTAGTAACTGACCAGAAGCGCCAGACTATACCCATCCGGGATGACATGGTTTCCGACGTTCCGAACCGAAATGTAATCACGGTTGTATTCATCGCGGTGGGAGCGCACCAATAAACACCCTATGCAAGTAACCGCAAAGGCAGCGGGCCAACAATTCCTTTACGGACCGTCGATTTTAATACTTTTTGTTGGCAAAAGCAAGGGAAAGGAAGGAGAGGCGCCTCAAATCAGCAAGGGACAGAATGTGGATCTACGAGGCCTGTAATCATTCTTGAAGGCCCGTATTTGGGTGCCTCACGATAATGTGACACAGAATGATTGACTGGATGCGAGGACACGCACATAAGGACGGCCATTGAATTGAATAAGATCCCAATATGACATGAAATACTCAGCAGATTACACGTATGGATCTATGGAGGTGTACAGAATCATACGACAGTACCAGTACAAAATAAACACCCTCAAAGGTGGGTGGGCTCTTTGTCATTTGATTTGACGATGTTGTCCATTTCAATCACAGTTTCGAGTTGGATGCTGACTCCGCCGTGCCGGTGGTAACTGAACCTTTCGGCTGGTCCGGATCGTTTGAACCGTGGATTAGAGGAAGTACCGGAGTGGCTGTGTGAGGAGGCCTCCTCCCATGCAGTGCGTTTGAAATTCACGATGACAATAATGAGTGTGGGGTACATGCCCGCGATCTGGTTGCCCATGGGATCGAGAACTTCATAGACCCAGTGCCAGGGCGAAACTGTACTGAAACCGGTGTATGCAATGACTTGGCTGAGCTGAAAGGAAAGGGTCAGTGGGTTCGTTGCAGAACACAGACTATCCTTCGTACCCATAATAAACTGTAGATGAAACCAGACTCGACAAGTAGCGAAAGGATTTTTTCTGTTGGCATTTGAGGCATATTCAAGTCCCTCATTCTCTTCCGATGCTGCCTGGGTATCCACAGCGTCAGCAGATGCGTGGCGCCGTGAATTGTGTACACACCATGCTTTGAACCCGATCAACACGGTGCAAGCGATGTTAGTCGCGACAGAGAAAGCCCATCCAACGATGTCGGCCGCTGGGCAGATTTTATGACTACCAGGGAATGGGCTGTTCAATTCGGAGATGTTGCACACAACATCCATGAGCACAAAGACTATGAAAAAATAAGTGGGACAGCGCTAGCGAGGTGAGAAGACTAGCGAGGCCCACCAAACGATGTGAAGAGCAGAACGCAAGGAACCGAAATTGCCAAAATCCTTCGTTGATAGATAGCCCAAGTCC